ATATCTACAATTATTATACATATGTAATTAATACCGTATATCCCGTTAAGATCATGTTAAGATCATGCCATATATATATTTTTTTTCGTATATTGATGATAAACACTGTAAGAATACCGTTCATCTAGGCATACAGTACGGTATCTTCACAAACCCCAGCCACGTAACACAGGTCAACGATTACGTTACATATGTACCCCAAGAAAACCAGCATTTTTACCTCACTTTGTGTACTATGGAAACAAAACAGTCATCGCAATCCTCCCACAGGCTTACAGCCTCATCACGTTGAAACACGAGTTCCGCACGTTCACAGAAGTTAAGCAACGTCGAACCTGGTCAGTACCTAAATGGGTGACCGCTTAGGAATACCAGGTGTTATAAGCTCGGATGTGCGGTTGGTGTAATGGAAATTACGGAATTGTCAATCGGAGAGCTAAGTTTCAATTCCTGTTGGTTTCATTATATTCAGTTTCACGCAAAAAACCTGGGAAACGTATGAATCCATCTCTTCTCTCCCTAGCTACGGGTTAATTATTAAGACTTTTATCAATCAATTATTATTATCTAAAAAAAATTAATCCCATCTAAAAATATTTTCTAGCTTTAAATGATCCGCAAAATGGTTGACAGGCCGTAGAAAACGAATCTCTCAATCAATTAATAGTATTACCGTTAACTGCAAATTATTATCCGTCATGTTTTTTTTATAGTGATGGTGACTCACCGATGTCATCTGCAGGAAAATAAAAACAACAATTGTCATTGGAGAAAACACATAACGACAAATGTTTAATAATAGGTAAAAAAAATTGTAATTAGCTGTGACAGAGAGAAAAATGACACAGTAGAGTCGGTGACTTGAACTTGTTTGTGCGGTAAGATATCGAATTCTATGGTTTTTAGATACCTAGGTAATTATAGCATGTGTGTTACCATATGTAGCAGCTTAGCTTACGGGAAAGACGATAATTACGTCCACGCTCAAATCACGAGGAAGACAACTGTTCAAATATGATCATTGAAATTAAGAAGAATCGACTTCAGTCAGTAGATAGGTAGAGGAACTCTTGCGAAAGTCGGGTACTCTAAGCCCCCACCTAAAATCCGAAAAGAGTTTCCACTTTAAATAATTCTTTAATGGTAAACCGTAAATACAGATATCAATCGATCAATTAATAACTTATATGAATAAAGCTTGGTTTCGTCATTAGAAAGATAAAAGTTATAAACATTTTTGATAGATAAAAATTATGGTTTCGTCATGATAAAGCTAAAAGTTATTGTAAAAAAATTCTGATAGGTAAAATTAAAAGCTTGGTTTCTTCATTTGAATGATAAAAGTTGTTGCAAAAATTTCTCAAGTTGTAGATAAAAAGTTTGGTTTCGTCATTACAAAGATAACATTCAATGTAAGAATTTCAGAGAGAGCAGTCTAAAAGTTTGGTTTCGTCATTAGAAAGGTAAAAGTTATAAAAACTCCTGATAGACTTTCTGATAAAAGCTTGCTTTCTTCATTCGAAAGACAAAAGGTCATGTAAACATTTCAGAAAAAGTAGATAAAAAGGTTGGTTTCGTCATTAGAAAGTTACAAGTTATTCTAAAAATTTGTGACAGTTTAGGTAAAAGGCTTTGTTTCGTCATCAGAAAGACATGATTTATTGTAAAAATATCTGATATAGTACTTAAAATGATTGGTTTCTTCATTAGAAAGATAAAAATTATTGTAAAAATTGTTTATGTCGTAGATAAAAACTTGGTTTCCCCATTAGAATGATAAAAAGTTATAAAGACTTCTGTTAGAGTAGACAAAAGGCTTGGCTTCGTCATTAGTACGATAAAAGATATTGTATATCTTTGAAAGGACAATATGAATAAAGACAAACGAAACTCAACAGACGCTTTTCGTCCTTTGAGACGACGTTTGCCCTGATAATGTCTTCTAAGTTAAGTTTTTCTTTTGTCTATTCATATTGCCATTTGACAGATATATTCTATCTTAAATTTTTACAATAACTTTTATCCTTCTATTACTGTTAATCGAAATCATCTCACCCTCGGTCTTTTTCTTTAATTACAAGTACATCTTATATGACTGGTTGAATGAAGAAGTTCATATCGAAACGTCTAAGAGTAATTTTTTTTGTTTTTGTTTTTTACTAATCAAGCCCGAACAGAGAACATTTGAAAAACTGAATAAAAAATAACCTTATGTAAATGTATTTGTCACATTCAGTCTAATGTATACAAATATAATTGGAATAAGCAACAAACAAATCCGCTGCCATTAGTGTTTCTTCAAATATTGAGAACGGACATCGTCATCGAATGGTTCGAAATTATAGTCCACCTCAACTGACACATGCTCATAACCAGAATATAAAAACATCTAAATAGAGGAAAGTTTTGATTTGGTTTTCTGGTAAAAAAAAAAAAAAAACTACTGGCAAATCCTCAAGATGTCCTTTTTGCCGTTCAATTGTAACTGGGGATGAAAGATGGATATAATTTTCTAATTTTAATAAGAAAAATCAGTGGCTTCGTTCTGGCCAGGATTCTGAACCTGTTGTCAAACTAGAGCGGTTTGAACAGAAGCTCATATTCTGTGTTTAATTATTACCTTAATCTCTCTTTTATCTTTAAATTACTTAATTTCTGATAGTTTTGATTTGGTTTGTTTTATGGCATATCAAACTCAATGGGTTATTTAATGCCGACAAAATTTTTATTGCTGGTAATATTTTTTTTTTTCAAACATGTATTGCTAGTAATATTTTTCCTTAAAAAAAAAATCTATTCCTGATAATATTTCTTTTCAAAAAAGGATTGCTGGTAAAATTTTTTTTGCCTAAAATGTATTGCTGATAATAATGCATTGATGGTAATAACTTTTTTTTCTTTTACAAAGTATTTCTGGTATTAAGACTTATTTTTAAACTTTGACCCCAATTTGGGGTTTAACTATTTGCCCAAAGATGGGACCTTATCAAGTGCTACCACTCCAGGTCAGGGTGGGCCTGGGAACACCAGCAATTAAGAGGTGGTTCCACGCTCCTCAAAACCTCCTGATCAGAGGCCTTGCTGCTGGACGTAGTGTGACGTCTTACCCAGCATGCGAATGGAGTTTATCGTCATACCCAAGACGTAAATGGAGGAGAGATGATTACGTGTAAAATGTATAAGCCTATCACTATGCTGTGTATGTAACATTGTCGAGTGTGAATGTGCGGCTGATGTAATGGATAGCGCTTTCGAAACAGAAAATGGGGAGCCGAGTTCGAATTCCAGTTAGGTTCGTTGCGCACTTTCCCTTGGGAAAGCTATGTCTCCTCATCCCCACAGCTATGTTAAATAGTCGGACTTGTATCTGGTAAGATCAGTTATTCTCAGAGAAAGCGTTAATGCAATATTCGCTCGCACAAAAGTAATGATTCTTTTATGATACAAAATATGTTTCGGCTTTAAATAACCTACGAAGGGTTGATAAGCCGTAAAAATCAAATCAAACGAACGTGCTGTGTTGTCAATTAAATGTTATCTAACACGAGATTAAACCTTGTCGGTCCACTGCATTTGATTTATTGAATATTGTTTGCCATTTAATCACCGAAGTTAAGCAACTTCAAGACTGATCAGTACGTAGATGGGCAAACTCTTGGGAATACACTGTATTGTCAGCTTGGATGTGGGGATAGTGGTTGGTGTCATGGATAACGACTCAGAATAAGAAATCGGAGAGCCGAGTTCTAGTCGAGTATGTTATATTCATTTACGAGCTAAATACTCTTTGAAAAGGTAAAATTCATCTTTCCTCCCCCAGTTATGGGTTAAATGGGACTTCATTATATTTTTTTAGAAAATTATTGCAATCCAATAATATATTCTGACTTTAAATAACCTGCTAAATCTTTATAAGCCGTATGAAAAAACAAATCGATCAATAACCCCTGGTTCTACAGAAGGATGCTGAGAATACCGCAGACTGAACACGTGAAAATGGAAAGGTGTGAAAGGCGAACACGCGTCAGGTATATTTACTTGAACCCCCACTGAGTCAGGTTGTGACACAAGGTCAATTTTTAACGTGAGGACCAGAGTGTTTTCACTCGGGCCGCTGGTCTAAGCAGGTTTTAGCTGGTCATAGTTTGTTCAAGCTGGTCAGAGCTGGTCTAAGCTAGTCATAGCTGGTTTTAGCTGGTCATAGCTTGTCCAAGCTGGGCGAACACGCGTCACTGCAGACACACATGAGGCATCGCATAGCAAGTTTCCCGTTACCAGCGGAACAGTTTGGCATATCTAGCTAGATACCTGCCTCTCCGCAACTGGTCAAGATCCGGGCCTTCGTAAGACACCTCATACCAATGAAAGCTGGAAGAAAATAGCAGATGGCAGTTGGCAAGTTATGATGTCTTATGAAGCCGGTCTAGTGGGCATTTTTTCTCAAGTTGCTGTGCTTTCCGAAGCAGTTTTATTTTTTGTTACCTCCCATCTCTGTCCCCTCTCTCCCTATTACGCCCGGAGTTGTTGGGAGAGCAATCGACTAGGTGTTTTCCTTCAATCTCAGACACTACTTGAACTACAACAAAAGGCGACTTATGTGCAACGTCAAAAAGCGGCAATTTAAACTTCTAAGGCACATAATGAGGAAAGAAGACTTGGAAAATATAATACTCACAGAACAGATTGAATGTTTGAGAGACAAAGAAATACAACGCATAACTTACCTAGCGAGCTTGAGTAAATGGATGTCGGAATAAGTTCTAGGGGAGACTAAACTTATCAAGTGTTACGAAAGAAAAGGAAGTTGTGAATGGAGTTTGGTACGTTTCGGCGTCGCCCATTTATCGTGGCTCTCTCCACATTTAAGTTTCTCTTATCCACCTATAGTATGAAACATCTGAATAAGAATTGTGATGATAACACCAAAGATGAAGACAAAATGCAAATAATGGTTGCTCCTCATCCCAAACATTCAAATAGTAGCTATTATTTCATTTTCAATGTTCTTTCCATTTCTGTCGCCTGTCCTTTTTTTCCTTTATTTTTTCTTCCTCTTAAAACTTTTTACTTCCTTTTACCTTCTTTTCCTAAGTTTGGTAGGCTTCCACGTAGCCCATTTGGTGTCACTGGTTCGGTGTCAGAAAAATAATTGGACTATTCCGCATAGCCGTTTAGGCGTCAGACTGTTTCACCGTCACTGTCTTTGACCGGATACAATCACTCTCCTCCCCCTCCAAAAAAAACTAGGATGAAAGCATTGCAAACACCCAACTTTCAATAAGACTTTTTATTTATTGAGTGAATAAAGGATACTATTAAAACACTAATGGAATAATATAAATTTAAAATATTGTATTAAAAAAAAAACTAGCAGCATGGCCCGGCGTTGCCCGTGCTTGATTCAAAAATCGTACGACTCATACAACAATCGCTATCACTTGACTTAAAATATTTTTGCCCTTCCTTGCCTTTAAAGGAGTGTCCATTTCCGTGCTGATGTTGCTACATGCCTTACTTCTTGCCTATCTCACACTGCGAATTTTTTCTAAGCTCTATACTAAACATTAAATCTGTTACGAAATAAGAACTAAACAAAATGGACACAAAACGATCAGCTTTAAAAAAGGACCCGTAACTGGAAAAACCGAATGAAAAAAGAATTTTAACAACAAATACTTTTTCACACCCAATCCAATTCTGCAGAATCAGAATCAACGTTGAGTTTAAGCAAGCGAATGAGCCAATTGGAGTAAAGTGCCATGCAGATTTAAATTTTTCCCAATCGTGACGAATGCAGCTATCGATTATTTTTTTTGCATGCTAGCATGCTAGTTAACATTCGTGTCAGTCAGCTGTTGGCTCTCACGCTGGCCAATAGAATCTTCCTGCCTATTCGTGGCAGCCAGTTATAGGCTCTCACTCTGGCCAGTAGAAAATGGCCGCAAACTACATGAAAACTGCCGTAGAAGCATGAAAAACTCGATTATTTCCACTATCGATGGGAGTTGGGAAATGCAAAAGTCGGTCTTGGCCTTCCTGCCATCTTTTGCATGCATGTAAATTTTGGTGCAAATCCGTCGAAAATTGCGTGCCGTTGCATTCACACACACACACACACACACACACACACACACACACACACACACACATATATATCCTGCCTTTTCATAGATAGAGATTAAAAAAACTTCGTAAAGCAACTTAATTTTAGAAATTTCTTCTTCATTTCGTAATTATGAGCAACGCCTTACAGGAATTCAATAGGGTCTAATGATTCAACTTACATTATGAGTTTTTGATTCGTTCGTTAACATCCCTATATTTTTTTTTTAGATTTTGAAGGGTGGATATCCAATGATATAAAAGGGCTTTGACGACTGAAAAAATGAAGCTTCATTGAAGGAAATATAATACAAAAATACCTCCATCATTTACTATTTTTGTTAAATTTAAAAATGCCTCCAACTACACTTTTTTCTTAAATTAGACTACTCGAGCATATAACGACGAAGTACTAATTTGACTACTAAACGAGAGAGAGAGAGAGAGAGAGAGAGAGAGAGTAAGAGCAAGACAAATTTGACTATAACGACGAAATAGTAATCTGACGTCTAATCGTCCATCTGTTGAAAAATTGCTATATTGAATCGGCTACGCCGAATCGATCCCGCCGAATCGATCCCGCCGAATCAGGACGTCAAATGGGATACGCCAGAACGCCCCATTCTCGTTGTGGAGAACCATGAAAGAAAACTGGTATTAATGTTAGTAGTAGTATTTAATGTTTTGTATTTTCTGGTGGTTATCAACGAAAGAGAAACAGAAATTTCCTCGAATTTTCCAGTATCCTCGTTAAATTTAATTCACGACTCCCAATTTCTCTCGGCTTCTAAACTTTCTCTGCTATAGTTCACCATTAGTAATTTCCCTTTTAGGAAACCAATTGTAATGACTAATATATCATCCAAATTACTAATCGGACCTGTCATTTAAGTGCATATTTTAAGATCACTAACATGCTCACTATTTACATTATTCGGACTATTGTCCTAATCTTTGTCGCCATATTTATCATAACGTTTCGGACGTTGTACGGTCCGGCCTTCTTCGGGTGGTTGGAATGCCGAACTTAACCTTATTTCGTTCACTGGCATAGACTGTTCTAGTTCCACGTGCCATGTCAAATGGATGCCAGTTATCAGTTATCTCCTGCTTAATTCCCTCTCCAAGTTCTCCACCGCCTTAACCAGGTATTGAACTCACACTCTTTGGGTCCTGTCACTGGATCTACCTAACGCCTTTATCTACTGTGTCATGTGTCCTTGAGGAAATTTTGTATGAAATGTATGGGTAATATCGACAGACATGCTTTCGAAACAGAAAATCTAAAAAAGCAAAAATAATGTCATTAAATCAAACCACTTAGTGCCATTGAAAAAGAAAGTTATAGTGAACAAAAATTAGCGGATCTTTCCAGAGAACTGTAAAAATTAGTGAATAAGACGTTAACAACTGCATCCAAATTTAAGGGTAAATGCTTAGTGTACAATTACCAGAAAAACAAAACTTAAGAAGTGAGAAATTCAAATGAAAATTTAAACCACATATAATACATCCTTAGGGCACTTCAAATTGATGTCATGTTTATCAAACTTGTTTCGCTAGAGCAATTACGACTGAGTACTGAATTCGATACTCACTGGGTGCTGCATACTTTCGGCCTAGTGCTATATCTAAGCTACGCTTATAAAATCACCACATATGCGATATCCTTAAGAGAATGCGTTCTTAGTGTAAAATCGTCGAGTTCAAATTCTACGCTAGTCTGTTGCGATTACGTTATCATAAATTCTACTTGAATAAGCACGATTCCCTCTCACTTCCCCCACCTAGGGATCAAATAGCATAGTAGTCTGTGTTCTTTAAGCTTGGATAGAAAACAGTCTAATGCAAATAAAAACACTAAATTTAAGAACATAGCGAGGGGCAAACACTTCATTGACTTTCCCAGGAAGTCATTGTGATTCACAGATAATGAAAAATAATTGTCTGTGGAGAGTAATGATCACCCACGCCCTGAAGAGGCGTAGTATTAAAATGTTACAACAATATAAATAAAGTCAGCACGAACACTTAGGGGACGCAGAGATATTTAAGAGATTCATCGAAATTCAAATCAAGGGTCTACTTATTCCTGTTGTAGGAACTCCTCCATGATTGACCATATCTTCACGGCGTTTAGCCATACTCGCCACTCCTGGCTAATTGTAGGTTGGTGAAGATGTATAGACGCTTCTTTTGAGTTGTTTATCGTGTTTTTGGTGTTACACTTCGGTTAAGTATATCTCGGCCAAGTGGACCTGCATTTATTAGTTGCCGTCGATAAAGCACCTCGTGCAAAAATGGAATGGTGGTTCAGTCTCTACCGAGATGTACATTTTCTTTAATAAGAATTTCACTGCTCTCTTGTCTACTAGATATCAATTTCATTGTAGAAAGAAAATTACCAAAAAACATAAATATCAACTCATATTGCTTAAAAATACCATTTATAGTCATATAAAATAATGTCAGATTGAAATCTAAATCTAGTAAGTTAGTAGTAATATGAAACTACAAAAGATAGAATTAAACCAATAAGATAGCTTTCGCAAAAATATGAAAACATTGATCAATTAATAACCTAATCATTTATATCAACAAAACTTCAGAGTTAAAATGATTTGAACATTGCTGTCACCTTTGGTCCAGTGATTCTGTTATATATTTAGATATCCTTGATAAAATCGAAAGAAAAATTTGCAATATTATTGTCCATGACCTGGCATCTCGGCTTCAGTCACTCTTCCACCGCCGTAATGTCGCTTCCCTGTGGCTTTTCTATAAAGACTTTCATTGTAATTTTTCGGTTGAAGTCTCCGCTATGGAACGCAGACTTTATGAATTTAAACGCAGTACTAGATTGACAACAAGGTCTCATCGTTTTACAGTTTGAATTGACTAGATATAACTATAAGTTCTTTGTTAACAGTTTCTTTTTTCCACACTTCTCGCATGTGGAACTCTCTTACGGCTTTCCAGCAATGTCAATCGTTATCTACTGTCTTTTTGATTACTTTTCTTCTATTTTTTCTTTCTCCTTAATAATGTTTCTCTTTTTTTTTTCTTATTCCATCACATTCGGTAACCCCCCTTGTGTCTTAGTGGTTTTTTACGCATTGCTTGGGGTGAAATGAGTTTTTTTAAAAATCTAGAATTGTGAAAACACGTGTTGCCACTTTTTCCTATAGAGTTTTTGCGAAAACTGAAAAATTACAAAATAATAATAATAATAATGATAATACTACTACTACTACTAATAATAATGATGATGATGATGATGATGATGATGATGATGATGATGATGATGATGGTGATAAAAGTATATAGGCATAAGAGTTAGATAAGTTTTGAAATAAAATTGAAATGGAATATTGGTCGGGAATGGATTCTTCAGATGGTTAAGAAGTATTAATCTTCGGTATTTCCTTTACACTTTAACCTGACACTATTTTGCTGTTCCCTATCACAAAGTAATTCCTTCTCAATCTAACATTTTTTTCGCTAGTATCTTCACTAACCTCATGCATCTTGACAGTGTCGAGGTGAAACCTAAGCCGATGGCAAGTGTCCCTTTTTCAGAGATTTTCTCCTCGTAGAAAATAAATAAATAAATAAATAAGGCAACATCGTAGGAGAAATGGACTGAGATAAAATATCTGGTCAGGTATATTTTTTTTTTTTTTTTTTAAATTTTAATTATTTTCGTTTCTTGTTGAGCAAAAGATGATAGATTTACTTTCAGAGCCAATACTTTCATGAGGGCCTAAGGGTTGTCTATATGTTTGAAGTCATTTGCAACAGATATCACTCACTCCCTCAATTCCACTCTCATTACTCTTTCTCCCATGTGTATATAGATGCATAAATAAACACACAGACGTATATATATATATATATATATGTGTGTGTGTGTGTGTGTGTGTGTGTGTGCATGTATACATGAGCATCTCGATTTTACTCAATCACAAAATGTAAGTAGATATTTTCTC